CCTTGCTGAGCATACTCGGTCTCAGGAACCGTCCTCCGTTCCTCCGTGCGAGCATACTCGTACGTCACTGAGAGTACTCGGCCTCGATCCTCGCATACGAGCGTACTCGTATATTACCGAGCATACTCGGTTTCGTCTCCTAAATACGAGCATACTCGTATATTACCGAGCGCACTCGGCTTCGCTTCTTATATACGGGTATACCCGTATACCGCCGGGAATACTCGGCTCCACGTCCGATCACCGGTCACTGCAGGGCGCGGGCAATACGCGCGTCCTCGCTCCCGTCTTCATCCCTTCAAATCGGGTCCTTATAACCGGCAGGCAATCGCGAACAATCGAATCAAGTGATCATCGAGTCACCGCGCACGCGCCCGAGCCATCGATCAGTCGATCGATAAGCACCGCTAGCACGTATCGATCCACGCGCTTGCAGGCATCTAGAGACAACTGCGGCACCCACGCTTGCGCTGACGCTTCCATGGCACCGTACGACCGCCGTTACGCACCGTTTGCACCGCTGCTATAATTTATAATCCGCGTTCGCACATTGTACTAAAACGCTCCGACGGCTGTATATATTTGATCTTAGCATTTACACAATAAACGTTATTTTATTTTGTTATTACAACACCGAGCATTCTTTTTACGTGCCCCCAACCGACCGAACTCCTGATTCCGGTGAGTTATTCCGCGCATATAAACGTACCGTTTCAATGCAAATACCGTATTTCCGAGGCGTCTACATGCGTAACGCTTTACCGCACAAGATACATCGAAACGAGAGTGGTATCGTAAATTTGGATGATGCCGATGGACCGGGCACGCATTGGGTGGCGTACGCCAAGAAAGGTGATTGCGCCATGTACTTTGACAGTTTTGGTAATTTGCAACCACCGAAAGAAATTGTACGCTATCTCGGCACCGATACAACGATAACATACAATCGCACGGCCTATCAGACGTACAATCAAACAATCTGCGGACAATTGTGCCTATTGTTCCTTCGAGAAATGGATTTAAGAATTAACCCATCGTTGATCGACGTTAGTCGTCACTAGAATCATGTCACTGACACTCACACTTAGCGGCAAGAGCAGCCTCCTTACGGTGGACTATTTTCCACCGATAGATTTGAGCGATGAAGAATACGAACTCGGCTTAATCACATTGGAGACCTACACGATACCCAACGTGACGTTGACAAACAACAAATTTTACTTTGACGACAATGATGAGGAAATTACAATTCCTGATGGATCGTACGAAATGGACGCCATCGATGCATATCTGAAACGTGCAATTTTACAAAAACGAGAAAAAAGTGATGATGATGATGATTATCCATTGTCACTTTGTCCCAATGTTAATACTATGAAGAGTGAAATCAAGTGCGCTTTTAGGATAAATTTCTCTAAACCTAATACCATTAGACCATTGTTGGGATTTTCGACAGCTCGTATACTGGAACCGAGAAGAAGATACGAATCAGACTCCTCGGTAAACATTATCAACGTAAACATTATAAGAGTAGAATGCTGCATTACCGCGGGTGCATGCGCCAACGACAAGTCTGTGCACACGATACACGAATTTTCACCGAACGTGCCCCGGGATATAAAGTCTCGGAAACGCCAGCACAAATCATTTACCTTCCGGTCATCGCAAGGAGCGTTACTGATATTACACTACGTGTGGTGGATCAAGAAGGACGATTGATTGACTTTCGCGGAGAGGAAATTACCATCAGACTGCACTTGCGACGACGTGGTGCGAAAAAATGCTCGTGTTGAACGAGAGAGAACAGTGAGTGATTGAGAAAACAACGAAAATTGAGAAAAAATCACTAATCAAGAAGCTGAATACATCGAGTGTAAACTTTTTAAAATCATTGGGATTTGCTGTGAGAAACGCTTAAAGAGATGGATATACTCAACATTGCTGACGAGCCTGTTTTCGACAAACGCATCGTGAAATATGAGATGCACACATACAATCCGTACGCTAACACGACGTTGGAACACAGCGATGAGATACAAATACCTATACAGCAACAGGATTTGTACACGTTGCCGTGTGAGAGTTTTCTTTACATTGAAAGAAAACTCGTTACGAATCCTACTGATAAGGCTAGAGATAACGTGTGTATAATGGGAAATAATTGTGTCGCGTTCATGTTTGATGAAATGCGATACGAGCTCGACGGAGTTGAAATTGATCGTAACAGAAACGTTGGAATAACGAGCACGATCAAAAACTATATATTGCTGACGACGGAGAAGAGCAAGACGCTGAAATACGCATCGTGGAATCCGAATGGATATCCGTTGATCGATGGATACTTTAATTTTTGCATTCCGCTCAATACTCTTTTGGGATTCTGCGAAGATTACAAGCGGGTTGTAATCAACGCGCGTCACGAACTTGTATTGATACACTCGCGCAACGATAACAATTGTCTAATCGCACGAACTAGTACGAATCCAATGATTGAACTACTCAAGATACAGTGGCGAATGCCACACGTAGTTCTGAGCGAAGTCAACAAGCTGTCTCTTCTTCGAACTTTGGAAAGCGGAAGATATTTGAGTATGTGTTTCTGTTCGTGGGATCTGTATGAATTTCCCATGCTGCAAAACACAACCAAGCATTCCTGGGCAGTCAAAGCCGCGACACAATTGGAAAAACCGCGATACGTAATCTTTGCTCTCCAAACCGGTCGAAAAAATGTGCTCTCTGAAAACACTGCTCAATTTGATGCTTGTAAACTCACCAATGTGAGACTGCATCTGAATTCAGATTTTTATCCGTACGATGACATGAACTTGGATTTCGACAGGAATCGATACGCTATACTGTAGAACATGTATGCGCGTTTCCGCAAAGCTTATTACGGATTCGATAATACGTATTTGGATATCGATGAAACGACTCAACGACAGCGACAAAACGACTCTGTCAAGAGCGCCACCGTTGACGTGCAAATATGTAGAATTTGATTGTAAAGAAAATATACCGGCCAACACCACCGCCTATTGTCTCATTATACACGATCGAATGGTTGAATATAATTCGTTAAATAACGTTGTGCGCAGACTCGTATAAAAAGTTATAAATTTGTCGTGTGCGAATGGGAACGTTAGTTTTCCGATGATTGACAACGATGTCTGATGTACCAATTTTCGTCGACTTGCAAGGTTACGCGTTCAACATTTTTATTGTGAAAGAAGCAGCGGTACTTCGAGATGGCAAAACGTTATCTCATTACGTATTTCGTGAACCCGTACCATGGAATTTGTTGACAAAATCGGAAAAATCGTTGGTGTTGGTTACGAATATACCATCACGGTTTTCGATGGGAAGATGGACACGTTTCGTATAATCAGGTGAAAAGCCTTATCAACAGAGCCATTGGTACGGAATCACCTCTGATATATGTAAAAGGACTCGAGAAGAAGAAGTGGTTTTGTGAAATTTTGGAAAATGATGTAGAGATCGAAACGATCGATGTGGATTATGAGGATATTACGCATCTGAATGATTTAGATGTAATCGGAACCTTGCGTTGTGGATATTACACGAGACATTGCGCTATGCAGAATGTTTGCAAATTGTACAAGTGGTGGTTTGAGCGTAACAAACATGTAAAACAACTATGATTTATGTTAATAAAATGATGTATATTGCATTCGTACGACTTTTATTTCGTCTTTTATCCGTTACATGATCCTCCGTGTAATATGATCTATCGCTTATCCCGCGACATATAATAAATTATACGTAAGAACATTTATGTGATATGTAATATCATCTGTCGCTTATCTCACGAGACATAATAAATTATTAATTGTAAGAATATCTATCAAAACATCTTTCAGACATTTATTGAACGTCTATCGAACGTCTCTCGTACGTCTATCAAACGGTTTTCAATATCTGTCGAACGTCTATCGAACGTTTATCGAATGTCTCTCGTACGTCTATCGAACGTCTTTCAACATCTATCAAACGTCTATCGAACGCCTTTCAACATCTATCGAACGTCTATCGAACGTCTATTGAACATCTCTCGTACGTCTATCGAACATCTATTAAACATCTCTCGTACGTCTATCGAACGTCTATTGAACATCTCTCGTACGTCTCTCGTACGTCTATCGAACGTCTATCGAACGTCTCTTGAACGTCTATCGAACGTCTTTCAATATCTGTCGAACATCTGTCGAACGTCTATCGAACATCTCTTGTACGTCTTTCGTACGTCTATTGAACGTCTATTGAACGTCTATTGAACGTCTATCGAACATCTCTTGTACGTCTCTCGTATGTCTATCGAACGTCTATTGAACGTCTATTGAACGTCTATTGAACGTCTATTAAACGTCTATCGAACGTCTATCGAACATCTCTTGTACGTCTCTCGTACGTCTATCGAACGTCTATTGAACGTCTATCGAACATCTATTGAACATCTCTCGTACGTCTATCGTACATCTTTGGGACATCTATCAAATTACATATGATGGAATATTCCTCTAGAATGTTCTTCGAGAGAGAAGAATTACATTTCGAGATTGCGTGAGAAATTAAGAGTGTATGCCTTTGTTATTTTATGCTGAGTTTGAAAATATAACTCCCCGTAGAGTAACTATATAGATTGCAATACATACAATGTGTTATATTCCTTCTCAAAAAGAATTAATATTATGTTACATTTTGAGATTACGTTAGACATTAAGAGTATCTCTCTGCGTTATATTTAACTATATCTTTTATTTTATGCTGAGATTGGAAAAGATAACCCCCCGTAGGATGGACACATAGATTTGTAACACATGTTAAAGATGTGGGTATAAAAATGCGTCGGAGACTAGGACCGTCATAAGTCTCCACGTACAGTTTGTGAGTGAATCAAGAGAGTTTGAAAAATGGAATTCTACAACGTCGAAATTGGACAAATTTTGGCATTGGCTACAATCGTAGCTGAAAGGGCTAGATCATTGACGGACGTGATGCATCGTTTTCAAATATCGGTGCAGGAGATGCAGCAAAATGTTCCGGATTCCTTCCGGATCACGTACAACGTAGAAGGAAATGAGCATGGGGCGATAATACTTTCAATGTAAGTAACTTTCTTATTACATACTCATTTTGTGTCACTCATACACATGTACAATTGTTATAACTTATAAATTCATTTTTTAATTGTGTATTTTATGATTTGTTTCCAGAGCTGATGTCAGGAATAACTTGGCAACGATGACACAAATAAATGTCATGATCACACTGTTCCAGCAGATAGAGCAAGATACAATCAGTACGAACAATGTATTAAGTGCTGTAATGGCTGTGTTATCTACAGACTTCTCCATTTAATTGTAGGTATTACAGTTTTTTTTCTTTTATTTATAGAAATCGTTTTATTAATAATTTTTTTATTTTTTTTGTTACAGATGATGATATCCAGCAGATTTTTTATATTATAATGTTTCTTTTATATTTTTATAATTTATTATTTCAATATTTTTTTGTTAAGTAATTTATTATGTCTTACACTTAAATTTACATTTATTACTATATATATTACTATATATATACATATACATTGTTAGAAAAATAAATTATTAATTATTATAAACTTTTAATATTCTTATTCTTATTGTCCCCTCATTTCTTTCCTTCTCCTATCCCGAGCGGTAAATGGACACGCGCTTTTGTCACGCAGTAAGATAGGTCGAGACATAGGAACGATATACATTACCGCTCAAAAGTTTGGAACACCTTACAATTTTTAAAATAAAATTATATTTTTCTCACAGATACAATTATTTTATTTAAAATATCGATACTTATTTGTGAATGTACGTATTTGGATAAAGTTTAAGGAAAATAATAAAAAAATTACATATATTTACAATGTTAGTGCGTAAAGTTAATTAAAATTATCTAAAAATTGTAGGATGCTCTAAACTTTTTTGTAGTGTATGGGGAGTCAGAATAATAAAAAAATAATTTAAAATATAATCACTTGTTTACTCCTTCCTTCTTTCATTCTCAGCGGTAACCTAACACGCTCGCTTATCTCATGTAAGGTAGGTCAGTGTAACATAACTTCTATATTGTTCAACATTGTAATCTCAAATTTAATAATTTATTATATTATAATAGCCTCAGTTTTATTAATTTATTATTATTATTTATTTAATATAAATAAGTTTATTTTAATAAAACTTTTCAAATTGTATATTTATTTAAACGGTTCCTTTATTACTACGGCGTAACTTGACTCGCGCGCTGTAGGATAGGTCAGTATAGTGGATAGGATGGGAAAGACACATAGTCGGGATAATACAAAATAATTTTAAATTGGAATAATATTTATTAAACAGATACACTTAAAATATATTATAACAATGAAACAATAAAGCATACGCTAAAAATTATCGCAATCTAAAGATTTGTGTTAACAGTTCGCAATCGATTATATCGTTCTTATCAAATGATTTGCCGTCACGTATCGCTGCGATGGGGTCCTTCACACCGCTCGCGATTTCTGAAAAGTGCGCGAACTTGACATCAACCATACCGGTAACGTTGTTCAACGAATGATTGATGCAGTCTACACAATATTCGAGTGCAAACATATTACACACGATTTGGCTTGACATGATTAAACATAATGCTGATGTTGCTAGGCGCATTACTTTTAGGTTGTTAATTTTTCCAAAACTTAACGTGCAGTGTCCAACGGTCTGAGACGGTGCTTTGTCCACATCATTCTTAAAGAAACTGGCGATGATGCCCCGTTGATTCACGAGTTCTTTCCATACGCCGTATGATAGACGTAACTCCTTACCATGGTTGTCACCGAGAGCGATTTCCACACGGCTCGGCGTTGAGACGTTGCTTCCGATGTCGAGATATTTGTAACTGGTTTTTGTCAACGGGTATCTTTTAGCCAAAATTCTGGGAGGCGTGATCATACTTCTATCGACGCTTGGCGAATTACTTCCTGTTTTTCAATTGTATTTCTGTGGAAAAAAGCTTGCGTGAGTTTAAAGTGTAACAATGGCGGTGAGTTTAAAAGTGCAAATAGTAAGAGAGCCAACTTACTCGTTGGGCGAATATTTCCGCTTCTTCGCGAAGGTCTTCACACCTTGCTGTTTGTTGGTCAGATTACTCACAGTTGTCTGCTGTACAGTAGAAAACATCGTTGTTATAATTCAGGTGAGGCGTTGCAGCAAAGTAGTGATTGTCCAAATGATTTCAGATAATTGTGACAATTTGTATTCTTCGCGAGCTTTTTATACCCGCTTTTTGCACACGACACTAATTAAAAATGCTGACAATGCTGATTAAAACATTGAAATCTGGCAACAATGGCGCCCAAAATGCTGACGTGGCTGCCTGTTGCTATGGGCTTTTGCACACGGCACTATTAAAAGTGCTGATTAAAACATTGAAATCTGGCAACAATGGTGTCAAAAAAATGCTGACGTGACTGCTGCTAAAAATAGTAATAATATCATTCTTGTAACAACGCAAAATGGTGCTGAAAGTGCTGACGACGCAAAATGGCGCCTGCAAATTCTAAAAAGTGATGACGTAATCTGTAAAATTTGTGGTCCCCTCTAATTTCTTGTAACCTGATATACACAACGCAAAAGTACTGATGTTGCGCTTTTACAACTGTAAACGTGTATACCCCTCCACAGTGTTGTAATCTGATACCTCCTCCCCTCAAAGAGCTGTAATCCAATAACCCCCTCCCCTCCAAAGTGCTGACGCAGCGTAATCCAATACCCCTCCAAAAGTGTTGACGCAGCGTAATCCGATACCCCCCCCCCAACGTGCCTGATGC